ATTGAATGATATGTTTTTGCTAATGTCTTGAGAGCTATAATGAAAAATATGTTCTTTTTTCCAGTAAAAATTAATTGGGAATATTACATTGAATAATAAATTCTCAATTTTTAATTTCTAGTTATCAGTACTTTGAACTCGGCATATAAAGATAATTCTCACTCTTGACATTCACGTGATTTTATTTTAATCCAAAGGCATATAGTACGCATTAGACCTCTACTTAGAGAGTAAAATCCTGAAAAATTGAGCAATTTCCCTTTATCACCAAAGCACACTCTTATCTAACGCCGCTGACAAAAGTATGATGTATAAAAGTTTTGCTTGTTATATGCTACACTCCATTACGATTTAAACATGCTTTCGAGTTGTCAATTTCAACTTTTCCCGTCGTGAGCGAAATTGACCATTCTCTATTTTCATTATGAAAGAGACTTGCTTGGAGCTTAAAATGAGTTTATGGATCGTATTGCTGTGAACTGCTTTTGGACACCATGCACTTTGCTAATTTATTGTAAAAAATTCTAGGAAAACTTAGTCTTAATGACTTTATGGATCAAATTGCTGTGGACTGTTTTTGGATATCGTATACCTTGGTGATTTATTGTTGAAATTTCTAAGAAAATAAAATGTTTGCTTTTTACGGGACGAGAGCTCACTATGTGCCTTTAACGTTGGCTTTACTTTAAATGCTCAGATAAGAGATTAGAATACTTGATTTCATAAATTTATGCTTGTTAATGTTCTAATTGTCTGCTGTCCAGACTCGTAGTTTGTACACTATGATCTTTGTAAAAATGCAACTGGGACGGTGATGTTTTTTTAAAACAAATCTAGATTCCGTGTAAAGTTTAAAGAATTATTGATACTATTTTTTTAAATCTGCTCAATTTTGAAAAAAAAACTAACTTTTATAAGATAGATCAGCAGGTGCAAAAATGTTTACTCTCTACATGTGCTATGTGAGGTTCATTCATGTTCGGTTAATAGCACAACACAGCACGAGAGTTGTAGAATTGCTCATAATTGTAGGTATTTAGCTATTGAAATGATTCTTATAATACCGTATGTTTAGAAACAGAAAAAGCAACGTTGGATCCGGAACATTTAAATATGGTTAAATTGTGAAATTCTAGGTAATTTGTAGCATTATGTGTACTTGATAATGTTAGTCCAGAATGGGTTTCCTTCTCGATTTTTCTGATGTTAAAGGTGGGATGGATACCAGATCCGGCGTTGTTTTTTAAAGGAAAAAGTTTTATTCTGAAATATTCTCTTTAATATTAATGAGGTCAAACACGGGTAGTTTAGTTGATAATTTTATTTTGTCAAATCAAATAGATGGAATTTGTTACATTTTTGTGTGAGTTCTAATGCAGATATCAATAACTTTGTGTATATCTTTATATTCCAACTTCAAAACTTAAGATTTTTCAGAAATGTAGTCTCACAAATCAATGTTTTAAGATGGTTCAATCAAGAAGTTATAAGAGATATAATCTGTTTATAACTTCTTGGTTCAATATGCATGCATATATGAAATGGAATTTTGTGTTGGTCTTAATAAAGAAATACCAAAATAATTCCGTGCGTTGTAGTATTTGCATGTTCATTGGTACCCACGGGTTGGGTTCACTTTCCTGCTCGCGTACTTGGATACCAANTTTGTGTATATCTTTACATTCCAACTTCAAAACTTAAGATTTTTCAGAAATGTAGTCTCACAAATCAATGTTTTAAGATGGTTCAATATGCATGCATATATGAAATGGAATTTTGTGTTGGTCTTAATAAAGAAATACCAAAATAATTCAGTGCGTTGTAGTATTTTCATGTTCATTGGTACCCACGGGTTGGGTTCACTTTCCTGCTTGCGTACTTGGATACCACTGAGTATTTTCCCAAGGGCTTTAAAAAAATTTCCTTTGGTTACTATAAGAAGAAAGTCTACCTGGGGAGGGTGGGTGGGAGCAGTTAGAGGAGTAGGTAACGCGCTTGCCTCTCAGACAGAAGGTTACAGGTTCGATTCCTGGCGGTGCTGGGTCCCAGCAAATTACCTTTTGCAAAAATAAACCAAAATAAACAATTTCAACTACTACAAAATAGTGGTACGAAAACAGAATAGCAAGGAGCCGATAGTTCTGTAGTTAAGAAAAATAACTTCTATTTTGTTCATGAAACAATATAGCACATTTATTATTGCACAAATGAATACAAAAAGTAACAGCATTGTTTTCACAAAATATTATAAAACTTGGAATATCTTTTGCTTTTACATTAATGGCAATTTCATAAAACGTACTGTGACATGTAAATTAGCTTTTACATACAAAAATGGTTCTGTAGCTAACTAGTGTACAACACGGCGAGATTCTATGCATATTGGAAAATTTTTACTTGACCGACGTAGCCTTTATTTATAAAGGAGTTCAGGAATACTATGATAGACAATAATACCAACAAGAAGGTAGAATTTATAGGTTTTTGTCAAAATTTACAGGCAAACTGGAAAATTAACCAAAAGATTACAAAAAAATAATAATAACGTCTGTCTAAATTAACTGGTGTGAACAATATAGAAAATTCAATATGCATATAACCTCATCCTATCACGACACATGTACCCACATGCAGCACTATGTCGTCTTGCTGATACTCGCACATAAAACAAAAATTGGTGTTCAAATATAATCAAATTATGTAAGATTCCTGGTTGTCTAGTTCATCGATAAATATTGTCATGTCCAAAATCAACGTATTTTCTTAATTCCAAAAATATGTACTACATGGCACAACTTTGAGCGAAAACTGAAATTTATACAGCATGCGAATCAGAAACGTCACATGACATGACCATCTAAAAAGCTTATTTCAACCATAGCCATTTCAAAGAAAACGGAAAAGAATACGTAAATATCAGTTTACTTGAAATCCACACTTACTAAGACAATGCTAATAAACTTAAGACTGGTCTCCGGTACTATGTGATCTAGCGGCATTATAATTCAACAGGACATGCAGGACTAACACATAAGAAGTTATTCTTTAATCACCCTTTGATCTCTACCAAAGAATAAACTACAAAAATACTAAGTACAATGCCAACCTTTAACAGAGCGCTGGTCTAAAAACACTTTTGGATATTTTAAAAAGAATTTTCAAACATTTGGCTAAATAACTGCTAGCCAAAATCTAAATAAATTTACGAAAAATGTTTCTTTAGTTTTTCATCCCTTGCTATAAATTTCGCTTTAAATTGCATCACATTCTATTTTGGGAGTATTGGCAGAAATTGACAGTCTTAAAAACTCATCAAGTACTCATTATTCTAAAAAATCGGCTTTGTGACAGCTAAATTGGTTGATTTGACTTTGTCAAGAATTTGTCGAAAATTCAGAATGTGAAAGTTTCTGATGAATGTCAGTCCTATATAGACCCCTTAATGTAGAAAATATTCCGAAATAAAATATTTTCTGCAACACAACGATTTTCCTTTGTAACCTACCACTCGTGCAATAACAAATGCACATTAATTTCGGGAAATTTTCAACTCCTTGGTTTCGTTTCTAAAACCAGGGTGACTTTTGACCCCTCCCCTCATTGAAACACGAAGTTTATATTATATGCGTCACAATCGCATATTCAAACTTAAGAAAGTTCGTTTCAATACATGTGGACAGTTCTGCAATACTAATGACACATTCTGCCAATTTGATTATGCTGCAATTTCTGAAGCATAATTATTTAAATTACAGCGATTTATTGATTTTTGGTGGATGTACATCTCGCTCTTTTTTTCTTCCGAAGAACAACTGAACACACACTGCAACTTCCAGACGCTTTCTAAAGCATTAGACCTAGTTCACAACCAGTTGAACCACCGTCTATTTAGTCCGTGGATCAAATATGGCGCGTACTTGACAATATAACTTGACGACTTGACAATATAACAATAACTTCCACAGACTTCCATAAATGCATTTTACACGGTTGGAATGTTTTCTTTCTTTCCAAAACTAAACATCACCAAAATAAATACTAGAATTCAATTTTAAATAAATAATTGTTCACGGAGAAGTGCCAAATTGCAGAATTGCAGATTTGTCCTCACAAATATGTTACCATCAAAAAGAAAACCCGTCGTCCTACATGTGCATTGTTGTTTATTTTGCCACACCTACATGGAAATAAACCACTACTACATGTACGTGTAGCAAAGTACTCTTCCTGAACACTACTTTGTAATAGTTTTAAAATAACTACAGTCGATTCACAACCCAAAGTAAACATTACACTTTATATTAAGTTTCAACCCTGCAAATTTACAAGCGGACAAACTCTGACATGCGACATGTAATCTTGACATGGATGCAGCCGCTGTGGAACACGAGTCTGACGTCATTGATGGCGTATTCAATCTTCTCGTGCACGGTTGAGTCACTGAAATTAAACAAAAACCACCTTTACAAATCAATGTCTAAGGGTTGATTAAATAAAGCAAGTTTTAATTTTACGGCAACCGATTTCGATTCTTATAGTAATATTCAACAAACCACTTTTCAACTTTAAAATTGGACGAATACACTGTATACATATACTGAGCTGACACGTTCTATGTAATCATGCACTTTCAAACAATATAATTTCTATTCTTTTACACCGTGCACACACTGTAACGTGACAACATTCTGTGTCTTTAGAATCACACGTCAGTGGTGCTCCTAAAAAGATAGTGGCCCTCGGATTACGTATAAAGTGNACTCGATAGTTCTGTAGTTAAGAAAAATAACTTCCGTTTTGTTCATATAACAATATAGTACATTTATTATTGCATAAATTAATACAAAAAGTAACAGCATTGTTTTCAAAAATATTACAAAACTTGGAATATCTTTTGCTTCTACATTAATGGCATTCATAAAACGTACTATGACGTGTAAATTAAGCTTTTACATACGAAAATGGTACAACACGGCGAGATTCTATGCATTTGTAAAATTTTTACTTGACCGACGTAGCCTTAATTTATAAAGGAGTTCAGGAATACTATGATAGACATAATACCAACAAGAAGGTAGAATTTATAAGTTTTTGTCAAAATTTACAGGCAAACTGGAAAATTACCCAAAAGATTACAAAAAAACAATAATGTCTGTCTAAATTCACTGGTGTGAACGGTATAGAAAATTCAATATGCATATAACCTCATCCTATCCCGACACATGTACCCACATGCAAGCACTATGTCGTCTTGCTGATACTCGCACACAAAACAAAAATTGGTGTTCAAATATAATCAAATTATGTAAGATTCCTGGTTGTTTAGTTCATCGATAAAAATTGTCATGTCCAAAATCAACGTATTTTCTTAACTCCAAAAATATGTACTTCATGGCACAACTTTGAGCGAAAACTGAAATTTATACAGCATGCGAATCAGAAACGTCACATGACATGACCAACTAACAAGCTTATTTCAACCATAGCCATTTCAAAGAAAACGGAAAAGAATACGTAAATATCAGTTTACTTGAAATCCACACTTACTAAGACAATGCTAATAAACTTAAGACTGGTCTCCGGTACTAAGTGATCTAGCGGCATTATAATTCAACAGGACATGCAGGACTAACATATAAGAAGTTATTCTTTAATCACCCTTTGATCTCTACCAAAGAATAAACTACAAAAATACTAAGTACAATGCCAACCTTTAACAGAGCGCTGGTCTAAAAACACTTTTGGATATTTTAAAAAGAATTTTCAAACATTTGGCTAAATAACTGCTAGCCAAAATCTAAGTAAATTTACGAAAATGTTTCTTTAGTTTTTCATCCCTTGCTATAAATTTCGCTTTAAATTGCATCACATTCTATTTTGGGAGTATTGGCAGAAATTGACAGTCTTAAAAACTCATCAAGTATTCATTATTCTAAAAAATCGGCTTTGTGACAGCTAAAATGGTTGATTTGACTTTGTCAAGAATTTGTCGAAAATTCAGAATGTGAAAGTTTCTGATTAATGTCAGTCCTATATAGACCCCTTAATGTAGAAAATATTCCGAAATAAAATATTTTCTGTAACACAACGATTTTCCTTTGTAACCTACCACTCGTGCAATAACAAATGCACATTAATTTCGGGAAATTTTCAACTCCTTGGTTTCGTTTCTAAAACCAGGGTGACTTTTGACCCCTCCCCTCATTGAAACACGAAGTTTATATTATATGCGTCACAATCGCACATTCAAACTTAAGAAAGTTCGTTTCAATACGTGTGGACAGTTCTGCAGTACTAATGACACATTCTGCCAATTTGATAATGCTGCAATTTCTGAAGCATAATTATTCAAATTACAGCGATTTATTGATTTTTGGTGGATGCACATCTCGCTCTTTTTTTTCTTCCGAAGAACAACTGAACGCACACTGCAACTTCCAGACGTTTTCTAAAGCATTAGACCGAGTTCACAACCAGTTGAACCATGGTCTATCTAGTCCGTGGATCAAATATGGCGCGTACTTGACAATATAACTTGACAACTTGACAATATAACAATATAACAATAACTTCCAAAGACTTCCAAAAATGCATTTTACACGGTTGAGATGTTTTCTTTCTTTCCAAAACTAAACATCACCAAAATAAATACTAGAATTCAATTTTAAATAAATAATTGTTCGCGGAGAACTGCCAAATTGCAGATTTGTCCTTACAAATATGTTACCATCAAAAAGAAAACCGGTCGTCCTACATGTACATTGTTGTTTATGTTGCCACACCTACACGGAAATAAACCACTACTACATGTACGTGTAGCAAAGTACTCTTCCTGAACACTACTTTGTGATAGTTTGAAAATAACTACAGCCGATTCACAACCCAAAGTAAAAATTACAGTTTATATTAAGTTTCAACCCTGCAAATTTACTAGCAGACAAACTCTGACAAGCGACATGTAATCTTGACATGGATGCAGCCGCTGTGAAACACGAGTCTAACGTCATTGATGGAGAACGTATTCAATCTTCTCGTGCACGGTTGAGTCACTGAAATTAAACAATAAACCCACTTTTACAAAGCAATGGGTCAGCAATGTCTATGGAGCGATTAAATTAAGCAATTTTTAATTTTACGGTAACCGATTTCGATAGTAATATCCAACAAACCACTTTTCAACTTTAAAATTAGACGAATACACTGTATACATATACTGAGCTGACACGTTCTAAGTAATCATGCACTTTCAAACAATATAATATCTATTCTTTTACAGCGTGTACACACTGTAACGTGACAACATTCTGTGTCTTTAGAATCACACGTCAGTGGTGCTACTAAAAAGATAGTGACCTTCGCATTACGTATAAAGTGAAATTTTAGAAATAAACATATGACAGGAGGGTAGTAAAAACAAAATTTATGAGATCTTAGAAAGAAGGCCAACATAGTCACGACATGTACACATTGGCGGGTAGGGATTTGCTGAGGTGGATTTTGAATTTTTTAAAAAACAAATTAGGACCCGAGTATGAAGTTACCTGCCAAAGCGTCCTTACATTGCTTAAGACGGAAGATGCGTTCACAGCTGGAACAAACCTCTCACAACCCGTTTTCTGGCAAATGCATTCCATCTGAAAATATTAACAGATAATAAACTATTTAAACATCAAGTTGAATTTGGACTTTTAATGTAAAACATTGTTGACGTCAAGACAAAATGTCGACATGATGCCTTATATACAAATTGCACCATTTTTTTTGGTTAATATCATCAACGCCAAATAACCAATGTCATCTTCCATCATCTTTACAGCACTTACAACAGATCGATGCCAATTTCAGTCCCAGATTTCCGACCATTTCGTGGAAATTGTGGCAATGAGACACAAGGCTTTCTTCTCCATCTTCTACTGACCTCGGTCCTTTCTGAACACCTCTCACCAAAATACTCACCTAGATTACATAATAATATATTCTAGACCACCTTCTGTACAGGTGCCTCGATTTCAACTTTAGCCTATGTTATATGATAGAGCAACCGGCCCCGCCCCATGAGAAAAGAAAATTACCCCACCCCACCCTTAACGCACAATCACAAATGAAGTTATTCAGTAATGAAATACAACGTCATGAGCTGTATCCATTTACCCGAATAGATCTAAGTAGAACAGACAGAAATAAAAGAAATTACAAGTTAAGAAAGGTATGAATCAATTTACTACATCCTCTGCTATCGTCCAAGATAAATTCGAGTTGGTAATCTTTTAAAAAAAAAAAAAAAAAAAAAAAAAAAAAAAAAAAAAAAAAAGGCAATTTCGAGCGTTTTGAAAGTTTACAGTTGTTGTGTTTTGAAAGAACTGTTACATCTCAAATGCAGAGTTGACATTAAACACATTTTTATTTTTAGAATTGCATTGTTGCTGTATATTGTGTATGTCTACATACACGTACATAACTGGAAAATTTTTACAAGAACACTTTTCCTTCCATAGTCTTAATTGGCAAATCAGTTTAGACATTCTAGAGTCTTGTATCAATTTTCATAGTTAAAATTAACAATCAAGATCAAGATGTAATTTTGCGTCTTTTTTCTATTTAAGCAATCTGTCGATCTTTGCGTGTCTTTCTCAGAAATATGTCCCGTTTCATCACATTTTCAAACTTAAGGGCCTTTAGCACCTAAGCAAGATATTATTTCAATATATTTTCTTAATGTCTCACCCATATATAGAGATAGGCCTACATAAGAAAAACATCATAACAGGGCAGTTTTATGTAGAACTATGAGACTTAAGGCCCCGTCACACTTATTCGGAATTAACAGGAATCAAGCAGAACCAGCCAGAATGACTCAATTTTAAAATTCGCACTACATTCGAGAAGAAATTTCAAATTGACCTAAATTCTTGTAAGAATGCCGTTGGACTACTTAGAATGCGCTTGAATCCGCCTGGAATGATTCGTGCACGTTTCGGCTGTATTAGCTCTCAAATGCAGTTTGAATGTAGTTGGAAAACTAGGAATATCAATAATGCTGTCAGAATGCAGTCAGAATATTAAGAATACACTTCAAATGCCGTGCGAGTGGAGTTCGATTGCTGACTGAAATAGGATGGAGATGCATTCGAGTTGCATTTCGGCTCATTCTAGCAGGATTTGAAGTGTCTTGCCATTTCGGTTGTCCCTCGAATGTGATCAGAATGTTTCGAATACTGTCGGAATGCTGTGAGAATATTTAGAATGCAGTCATAGTGCAGTTAGAATACTATTCAAATGCCATTCGATAATTTTCCACTTGGAATGCACTTCGAAAGTTTTTAACATGAGCAAAACATTCGGACCGGCCATAAGAATGGGTAAAAATATTTGGAATGCACTCAGAATTTTTAGAATTCTCTTCGAATATCCAGGAACGCACAAAGAATTGTCTTCCGACGGCATTCTTGCTCATTCCGCCTCTAGTGTGACGGGGGTATAACAAATATCTAAAATGAACATTTTAATCTATTTATAGATAAAAATTCTCCTTAATGCTAAAAATCTGCAGCAGGTTTTGGTTGTAAAATAAATCTTGTTATCCATGTCTTTAAAAAATTAAAAATTTACTCTGATTATATAAAAAGTTCAAAATTGCAGAGTTGCTTCCTGTGTGAACACAAACGGGTTTACTCACTGGCGAAGTTTTGCTTCCACCAAAGAGCACAGAGTCCTAGTTCTAAATAAACTTAAGAACGCCTCTGCATCGCCGATATCGTTCGCTATCCAGGCGTATCCAAAACCATAACGAAATAAGTTTTTAATGCAAGTCGCCCAGGATGACCTTCCTTCGGTGTCTAAAGGGCGTAACATAATATAACATTACTTGGGGTAGGCCCTACCTCTCTGATGGCATGGTTATCAGTTTGACCCAGTATTTAATACATCTAGTCAAATATGACACATAAAGAGGGAGTTTACCGCTTAATGCTAGAACATTTGTCACATTTTGATTTAAGCAGGCCACTCTTTTGCAAAAACGTTTTGTTCATCTTTTGCGCACTGTTGAAATCCCCATATTTCTGCTGCATATATTAAAATCGGCTTCACAGTTGCATCGAACAGTTTCAAGGCTTCTTGATAATAAAAATATCCAAAATATTTTTGACAGCGGAATATTGCGTTAGATGCCTTTATCGCTCGTAGTGACAATTAAGTGTCCCTGCGTTCCAGACCAAGCTAATCGAGGAGTGAATAAGAATCCTAATATTTATAACTGGATACGACCTCAATTCTATTTCCTTTACATGTCCATTTTCACATTTTTAATACGCCGCCTCTCCTGAATACCATTATCTTGGATTTGTCTAGATTTAGTTTCAAAAATTTCAAAATCACTCACTGAATTAATGTCTTTGTAGCTTAATAACAGTTTCCGCGATAGTTGAGACGTCATCCGCAAACATTAAGGCATGCAATTCTGTAAAGTCTGCAGTAATAAAGATTCCATTACCACATTTAAGTTTCATGTATTTGACCAAATGATTCACAAATAGAGAGAAGATAATCGTAGAGCTCACACATCCTTGTTTGGTTCCAATTTCGCATGGGAAAAATGGAGTAAGACAATTTTGTTTTTATACGCGATTTGAGTTGGTTATACATCGTTTTAAAAACTTATAGTAGATTACTGTTGTCTGGAATTCCTTTACGTCGCAAGCTTTTCCAGAGTTGTTCATGGACACAATTATCATAAGCTTTTAAAAAATCTATGTAAAAATAGAAAACATAAAGCCGACCTTTGTCTTGACAAATATGTTTGGATGACTGCTCGAAGGCTAAAGATATTATCTGTTGTCGAATACCCCTTGCGAAATCCAGCTTGAGATTCGTCTATCACACCATTTTCCTACTGTAGATACAGAAGAGGGAGAAACTTAGGCAGTGTAAAGCTGTTATGAAATCCACAACTCTTGTTGATTACTCAGTACTTTTTCTTGATCGATGAATAGAAAATCTAACATTACACTTTAACTTATCATTGAACAGCACCCGTTTTGTTGGGCAAAGGTTATATGATATATTACCGGTATTACCCAAGACCTAATAACAAAAATGAAAACCTAAACCAGCATGGACTTTCTGCTACATAATTATTATCATCATTATTATTGTTCTTGTTTAACTGAGGTTACATTACACAATGACACACAGTTTAAAGCCAGTTTGGAAAAGCATCAACATGTCTTGTATACTGTAAAATATACTTTTGTCTTCTATCCTTTTTCTGAACCAAAACAAAAGTTCTTGGAATGTTGAGTAGACCAAGGAAGCCAACACAGATGTATTTCTATGATAATGTATTAAAACAAACTGCAAAGTGCTATTTTGCATTTTCTCCTGATCCTTGCCTCATCTGTGGAGTGATCATCAAGAATTTCATGCTCAAAAAATCTTTGGTTTCACAAATCTGCATTAATGACTTAAACATTAGTGTCATAATGGTTTTCCGTTACTGAAGGACAGAGTTCTTTTTGTGGTACTAGTATATGGACTGTGATCTCTGTTGACTGGTTGTCTGGTACCCCATTGGAGTGAGTGTAGCTGGTCATGTCCTTTTATAAGGTGGTTTAGCAGGTTCTAATCCTGTTATACTGTCATACAGGGGCGTAACCAGACCTTTAAAAATTGTACGCACAGATTTTTAAAATTCCCAGCAAAATGTAGACTAACGCAAGAGATGAAGGACAGCGTAATTACAGCATATGTACCACACATCGCAGCTTAATTTCCATTAATAATAAAATCATCATTTAGTCAGAAATATTCTCGCAACTAAAAAAGTTTCAATATTGTTATTACCCAGAATGGTACGGTATATTTATTTAAAAGGAGGCTAGCTGTGGAACCCCCTTTCAAAAAATCCTGGATCCACCTCTGAGTTGAACTAACATACGGTTTCAATCACCTTACATGTGAATGCATGGCTCCCAAAAACAACCAATTGTACAACATGACAGAGCTCTGAAACATCTAAGTTTCATTATTTGTTTGTAAAAATTGCCCATGTCACCCTGTTAGTTTGGAGGGGTAAGCTGGGTCAAGTCCGTGTCAAAATTCTTTGAAGCTTTGCAGGAAAAATTCTTCCTTTGTTTCTATAGCTCCTTTTTGAACCTGGTGTCCGGATTTTATCTAGTGCCCCCAGGGTTGCGGGAGCTGCTCTTTGAAAATAACACTCAGGCAGATTTTTACCTGAGATAAATATCGCCAGTGAAATGTGTTCAATATATTCTCAAGAAAGAGGGTACAGAAGAGTTGAGGGCCACTGAACCCTCCAATTAAGAGGTAAAAAAAGTTCCAGTTAGATTGACGATTAAGATAGGACTTGTTAAGGTTACAGGCATTGTTTACCTCAGTTTGCAAGACGGGGAGGGGGGGTCAGAACAATTGTGCCTATACAATTGATACAGAGGATTTGTACATATAGGTGACTTTAATAAGCAGAGAATTTTCTTTTATATTCCATGAAAAATACACTAAATTTACACAAAATAATATCATGGTTGGCAAAAAATTGTACGCACAGTGCATCCGTGCGTATGCCTAGTTACGCCCATGTCATACATTGAGTGGTAGAAATTGGTCGGTTTGTTGCAGTCTTCAAAATTCTCCATTTTGTTGTATTGTGGTACCATTGCATCCTATGAGAAAAAAGATGAGCACATTAAACCAATGAATAAAAAGAAAATTTCCAGTTAACGAAGCATTAATGCAAAATGTTTTTACTGGCAATTTGAAAAAAAAGACCAAGCTATAGATATGCTTTTCTACTATACATGCAAAATACTGAATACTTCAAAGTTCTGAATCTTCTGTCTTTTGCCTTTTGAACCCTTAAATCTTTTACTAATCACATTTCTATACAATAAGTGACTATGTTTACCCCATTCTGTGCCACAGAGCTGTCATATACAAAGTCTGGCATGCTGATGGCCACAACATTTTTTCCATGGAAAGCCACCGTTCCTGCAGGTGCCCCAGTCTGAACTCGCCCCCACCACTGGAATGCAGGGCCTTGTTCTTACTGAAATCATAGCAACAACTATTTCAATATGCAGGGGAATTGTTTGATATCATTATAGATTAAGATGTAGACAGTATCAGGACTATCCCCCCCCCCCGAAGAATATATATTTAATATATACAAATATTAAGTACAGAATAAAAAGTTCAAATCTTTTCATCCATTGTATGAATATTTCTTAGTGTGATGGCAAATATTATGGGGATAGCAAATATTAATCTTATTTAACAAATGATATTCATGGAGTACAAGTAGAGAAATTTTCAGAAATATAAATACAGAAAATTTTATAAAAAGTCTAATCAGAGTATATCTCTAGGTAAAGTGGGGCAAACAAACCATCTCCCACATCCAGGTAACCCTTTGATGAATTAACTGTTACTTTTAATTGCTTCATTACTTGAGATATGATATGAATACCAGACATAATCAACAAAATGAAATTTTAATTCAAAAGCAATTACAGTTTTTCAAATTTAACCTCAAAAAGGATCTTGAAAAAGATTCTATGGTGTAGTATTAACTAACATAACTTGCATCAGCTCCAGTGAATGCTGAAGGCTCCTTTTTACAGTATTCCCCATAATAGTCTGAAATTTGATCTAATTTATTTAAATACAGAGTGACAAAAATATTGACTTTAAATAAAATAAAAACAAAAACATCACTCCACCATTTCAGATGTAGGCAAGCCATGCTGCATTTTTCTTTAATTATATCAATTCATAAACTTGGGTAGATTTCACAAGATAAACAGCCAGTATACAACAGCAAACCCTGGTTTTCTTCATCTCCACAAACTCCATGAATGTATTTTTGATTTGTAAAATCATCAGCTTGGCACCAACTATATTTCCTCTTCCTATTAAAATCGTCATGTGTTTGCTGTGCTTTTTGATTACTGACACAAATCACGTTTTCGTCTCAATTACAACAACATTTTCAATTTCTTTATCATAATTGTTTTTCTAACCCAGATACTTACTATTCAAGCACAAACACACCAGTTTCTGGATCTGGCTTACATTTGACACCATTCTTGCAAGGACATGTCTGACTTGGTGTGGGTTTTACTGTCTCCTCAGCTGAAAAATACAATAGACAATTAAATTGAATCTATTATTAAATTAAATTAAATTAATTCTTCAAAGACAGGTTTTGAGTTACACTTGAAGTCATATGCAAATATCTTTAAATTGTAAATGGCATGTAAGAACAGTAACAATTATCTTTTTTTGAAATTGTTCAGTGACTGTTCTGTCACTGAACAGAAATATTCTTAAATCTGTTTATCAACAACAAACATGATATTGCAGTCATATATTGTACTTTACTAACCAAATAAAAAATAAAACAAGGTCCATCCCTTCTAGGCAGGTCCTGCCTGCTTCTGCTTCTTGTCCACTCTGTAGGACCACCTGAAATATTATAAAAACTGATTCAACAAATTTCCATTTATTCAAAGTGGCACATAAAATTATTGATATATAGCACTTTAAAGAACTAT